ATTAGTATGAACATTGTGATTATGCACGTACATCCCAGTAAGTAAACTCGATCTACTCGGACAACAAATCGGAGTCGACACAAAGCTTAAAAAATACTGAAAATTCACATTCATATCAATAAGCCACAGAAATATCATCAGATGACTCTGAGGGAACATTTTTGTAGCTTACGGTAGTACAAGGTATTAGAATAATTTACAACTCACCCTCCGCGAAACTCGGTACCCTTCTCCCTCATCAGCCTCGACACTTTAGGCATGTATTGCATCGATCCGAGCTCAATGTCTTGATCGTCGGTGATAATCAGTATAATGTTTCTCTGCCTGAAAATTTAAATTTGAGAATTAGGAAGACGACTCTGTATTCATGTGGGATTACCAAAGGTGAGGTTACATTGCGCGACCACTTAGGTGGGTTATTTTGCTCTCAAAAGAAAGAGGATATGAAAAGTAGACTGCTAGGAGATAAAGGCCAAAAACGTCGAAACACTGGAAATGAGGACCTCCATTTTTTGGAGAGAAATACCTCCACTCCAAGACTGAGGGCTGGTTCATAAGAGACAAGGGACGACAAGGCGAGAGAGCAAAGGAATAGAGCTAGACGCATAAGCAGACAAAATATTCTCAGCAGAAAAAAATCCTACAACACTCCAATATAGAATGAATTTCACCACTCTATTCAATATTCTGTCTCTCGTTTTTCTCAGCTTCAATCAGTTAAGCATGAATGTAGCACCTTCACAATGTACAAACAATTCTGCACATTTTGCACTATCACTGTCCGAAGACTGTCTGAATTCCTCCCATATTTAGCCCGCTTAGGAAGGGCGCTTAAATTTCTAGCCCTCGAGGGTAGCTTGACAGGAAGAAGGATATACACCATGTCGGTTAATCACGAAGATCCCACGAGGATTCCCTCGCGTGCGCAAGCTCATTTGTGATTACGTCCAGACATTGACTACTAGCGATCAAGCGTATTCACCATCGAAACGGCATTAGTTCTCATCGCGGTTCTACCCCCAGTTCTTTTCGGTTGTGCACTCGCTTCGAGTTATTCATCTTTTATGATTCTTTGCGCTACGGACTCATGGGGTTTCAGCCCTTATAACTTCTTCGGACGTCTAGCAACTTTGGTTCACTGGCCATTTCGTCCATGGTAAAATCTACGACTTGCTCTGAAGGGGCTTTTGCGTAAAACTTTCACCCTTTCGGGTATAAGACCTCGGGAGAGAGGAGCTAATTTTCTGCTACTGATATTCATCGCTGTTATAACTGTAATTCTCGATTCTCCGAACCCCGATTGGGAGGAAAATTGTCATGAACGCTATCCTACTTCCCCATCTAAATTTTCGCTTCAGCACATTATTCAGTACCTCCTTGAAATATCGTATTTTCGTTTGGTAGAACAAGAGAAGGTTCGCTTCAGATGAATACTATCATCGCCGTTCTCGCGATTGCTGGAGCTGTGCATAGTCGGCTGATCAAGGACTCATGGCTATCCTTTGATTGGAACAACTTCTATGACAGACAGACACCTCCATGGACGACCACTCCACCACGTCCACTGAGAACTGCTCTACACCACAAACAAGGTGCTGAGTTTAGATTTATAAAGCTTTGCTAGGATGACTACAACCAGCTAAGACCCCAGAAGTTGGAGTAACAGACGATCCACCGAAACACCTCAGCCAGGCATCAACTGAAAATCGCGTTGTTGCAAAATCCCCTGTGGCAGGAGGTCATAACAAGGGATAAAAAGAGAATCCAGAATGAGGAAACAGCCGAAATCCCAACAAATGGGACCAATCATTTGTTTTGTATTTACGCATAATTAGGCATGTAGTGTACAGCAATAAGTTTTGATGCTTTTTTTGCAACAGGTTGTACCTCGACGGGGGGACCATCATACAATTTAGTTATATGTATTACTTCTTACGCCGTCATTTTCTACTTGACTAAAGTGATTCAAAATTTGGAACCTGCCTAACCGCACTTGCTGTGAGAACTTTGTTGCAGCTACATATAGAGCGAACAAGGCGGAATATCTTCGGAACTTCTAGTCAAAGTTCCTCCCCATATCGCCACAAAGCGGTCCCCGAGAAGTCGACAATGAAGGTTTTTTAAGAGTGAGCCAGACGACCAATCAAAGTTGATACCTCAGTTAATC